GTGCGTGCCTGTAATCCCAGCTACTCAGGAGGCTGGAGTGCAATGGCGCGATCTCGGCTCACCGCAACCTCCGCCTCCTGGGTTCAGGCAATTCTCCTGCCTCAGCCTCCTGAGTAGCTGGGATTATAGGCACGCGCCACCATGCCCAGCTAATTTTTTGTATTTTTAGTAGAGACGGGGTTTCACCATGTTGACCAGGATGGTCTCGATCTCTTGACCTCGTGATCCACCCGCCTCGGCCTCCCAAAGTGCTGGGATTACAGGCTTGAGCCACTGCGCCCGGCCTTTTTTTTTTGAGACCGAGTCTCACTCTGTTGCCCAGGCCGGAATGCAATGGCATGATCGTGGCTCACTACAATCTCCACCTCTCAGGTTCAAGGGATACTCCTGCCTCAGCCTCCCGAGTAGCTGGGACCACAGGCACGCACCACCATGATAAGCTAATTTTTAAAATATTTTCAGTAGGCTGGGCGCGGTGGCTCAAGCCTGTAATCCCAGCACTTTGGGAGGCCGAGGCGGGTGGATCACGAGGTCAAGAGATCGAGACCATCCTGGTCAACATGGTGAAACCCCGTCTCTACTAAAAATACAAAAACATTAGCTGGGCATGGTGGTGCGTGCCTGTAATCCCAGCTACTCAGGAGGCTGGGGCAGGAGAATTGCCTGAACCTGGGAGGCGGAGGTTGCGGTGAGCCGAGATCGTGCCATTGCACTCCAGACTGGGTAATAAGAGCGAAACTCCATCTCAAAAAAAAATAAAAAAAAAATAAAAATATTTTCAGTAGAGATGGGGTTTTACTACATTGGCCAGGCTGGTCTAGAAATCCTGACCTCAAGTGATTTCCCCGCTCCGCCTCCCAAAGTGCTGAGATTATAGGCATGAGCCAGCACGCCCAGCCGGAAAGTAGTTAATTTAACATTACATGAATTTCACTCCAATTAAAAAAAAGAAGGGTCAGACACGGTGGTGTGCACCTGTAATCCCAGCTACTCAGGAGGCTGAGGTGGGGGGATCGACTGAGCTCAGGAGGCCGGGGCTACAGTTAGTCAATTTCACATCACCGCATTCCAGCCTAGGCAACACAGCAAGATCCTGTGTCTAAAAATAAAATAAAATAAAATACACAATTTTAAAAAGAAAAAAAAGCTACAGAACATGGGAAATACAATGGTAAGGAAACAGGATGCGGCAGGTGGAGGGACCCCATCTAACTAAACACAGCCCACACTTGAACCTCATACTGCAATCCCCTGAATCTGCATTCCCATCATGCTGCCACAGCAACCCAAGCGAGAAATGGGTTCCTATCGCCGCACGCCTTAAGCACGAAGGAGAGTAAACCAGAAGGCAGGATCATGAGAGCCTGGAAGCAAACCAAGCAGCGTATGGAAAACTTTGCCAAGACTTCCTGCATCTGGGTGTGAAATGCCGACGGTAGACACAGAATGGAAAAGGATTTATTCCAGAGCTACGGGTCTGCAGTAGGTTCTTAAGATCTCCTCTGGTTATTCCAAACCCAGAAGAGAAGGCCGGGTGTAGTGGCTCATGTCTGGAATCCCAGCACTTTGGGAGGCCGAGGCGGGTGGATCACCTGAGTTCAGGAGATGGAGACCAGCCTAACCAACATGGTGAAACCCCATCTCTGCTAAAAATACAAAAATTAGCCAGGTGTGGTGGTGTGAGCCTTTAATTCTGGCTACTTCGTAGGCTGAGGCAGGCTGGAGAATCTCATGAAGCCAGGAGGCAGAGACTGCAGTGAGTGGAGACCGCAGCACTGCACTCCAGCCCAGGCCACAGAGCGAGACTCCATCTCTCTCTTTTTTTTTTTTTTTTTTGAGACGGAGTTTCGCTCTTGTTACCCAGGCTGGAGTGCAATGGCGCGGTCTCGGCTCACTGCAACCTCCGCCTCCTGGGTTCAGGCAATTCTCCTGCCTCAACCTCCTGAGTAGCTGGGATTACAGGCACGCACCACCATGCCCAGCTAATTTTTTGTATTTTTAGTAGAGACGGGGTTTCACCATGTTGACCAGGATGGTCTCGATCTCTTGACCTTGTGATCCACCCGCCTCGGCCTCCCAAAGTGCTGGGATTACAGGTGTGAGCCACTGCGCCCGGCGGGACTCCATCTCAAACAAACAGACAACCCAGAAGAGAAATCGGCCGGGCCACCCCCAGCAGTGTACATGATGGTTGAGTCAACACCCTTCACTTGGACACACATGCACGGGAGTCCCTGGAGCCCAGCAGATACCCGGAAGTGAGGCTCTCCTCCTAGCTTGGCCATTGTCAACAGGTTCCCTAGGGCATGCTCTTCAGTACCTCTGAGCCTCAGTTTATTTTTCTGTAAAATGGGACACAGAACCTAGCACCTTATAGGGCAGCTCTGCCAAGAATGAGGGTGTTATCTCAATAAAGCCTCACAACCCGGGAGAACGACCCTCATCCCCAGGGCTTTATTTAAATCTGCATAAAGGAAGTCTGCAAAGATAAAACGGTGACTAATGGCAGTGGTCAGTGGTGGGAGTGAGGGCAGGGCCTGAGGATGGGGTGGAAGAAAGACTTCACTGAGTTCATCCCTGTCCTGGAAACCATCATTCTCAGCAAATTGACACAAGAGCAGAAAATCAAACACCGCATGTTCTCACTCATAGGCCGGTGCTGAACAATGAGAACACATGGACACAGGGAGGGGAGCACTACACACTGGGGTCTGTTGGGGGGAAATGGGGGAGGGACGGCGGGGCGTGGGGAGTTGGGGAGAGATAGCATGGGGAGAAATGCCAGATATAGGTGATGGGGAGGAAGGCAGCAAATCACACTGCCACGTGTGTACCTATGCAACAATCTTGCATGTTCTTCACATGTACCCCAAAACCTAAAATGCAATTAAAAAAAAAAGACTTCACTGAGTACCTTCTCTTTTTTTGTATTTTATTTTATGTTACTTGAGATGCAGTCTCACTCTGTCACCCAGGCTGGAGTGCAGTGAAGCGATCGGAGCTCACTACAACCTCCGCCTCCCAGGTTCAAGCGATTCTCCTGCTTCAGCCTCCTGAGTAGCTGGGATTACAGGCATGCACCACCATGCCCAGCTAATTTTTTTATTTTTAGTAGAGACAGGATTTCACCATGTTGGTCAGGCTGGTCTCAAACTCCTGACCTCAGGTGATCCACCCGCCTTGGCCTGCCGAAGTGCTGGGATTACAGGCGTGAGCCATTGTGCCCAGCCTCATGACTACATATTAATAAGGGTTACAGAAGCCTCTGGAAGCAACTTGTATTTTTAACACCTTCGGGGGATTGGAAATGCCTTAAAGTTTTAGACTACAACTTGGTGGCTGGGACCTGAAATCTGGAGGTGACCCACTTGTTTCTGACTTACTCACCTGGGAGCAGAGGACTCGCTCCATGAGCAGCCAGAACCAGGCAGGCTACTGGTTTCTGGAGAGGCGAAGCCCGGGCTGAAACATCAAGCAAATTTGGAAGCGTGGGCCCATCTGGGTGACCGAAGGAGTCCTTTTATTCCCAAGGAAGCTAAGTTTTCCAAAACGCAAAGAGGCCGGGCGCGGTGGCTGATGCCTATAATCCAAGCACTTTGGAGGCCAAGGCAGGCGGCTCACCTGAGGTCGGAAGTTCAAGACCAGCCTGTCCAACACGGTGAAACCCCATCTTTATAAAAAAAATTTTAAAAATAAAAAAATAATGTAGATAAACTGAGTAAAAATGAGATATGATTTCTAATAAAAATAGAATTCAGGTACTAAAAATTTCCCTTAAAGAAAGAGTTATGAACGACCAGGCACAGTGGCTCACGCCTGCAATCCCTGCACTTTGGGAGGCCAAGGAAGGTGGATCACCTGAGGTCAGGAGTTCGAGAGCAGCCTGGCCAACATGGTGAAACCCCGCCTCTACTAAAAACACAAAAATTAGCCTGGCATGGTGGCAGGTGCTTATAGTCCCAGCAAATTCGGGAGGCTAAGGCAGGAGAATCACTTGAACCTGGGAAGCGGAGGTTGCAATGAGCCGAGGTCACGCCATTGCACTCCAGCCTGGGCAACAGAGTGAGGCTCCATCTCAAAAACAACAAAAAAGAAAGAGTTATGTCCCCTCAGGGTTGTGACAAACCTGCTGGAGCTGCCCACAGGTCAGGGAAAGGCTGCCTGCAGATGGCCAAGCTGTGGGCGACCGCCCAGGGAGGACTTGAGGGGAGAAGCGGCCAAGTCCACCAGAGGCTGATATCTAGGCAGCCAGACTCTTAACATCTCTGCTGACCCATGGACCCCGGCCAGCTCAAAAGGTATATAAAACGCTGGGGCTGAGTAACAGAAAAATTCAGAGCGCTCATTCTCCCTTCAGTTCACGTGTTGTGCTGCCCAGGAAACCTTTGCTCTTGAAATCGCTATGAAAAAGATATCCCCCAAGGCTGTACACTGTGGCTCATGCCTATAATCCCAGCATTCTGGGAGGCCGAGGCAGGTGGATCACCTGAAGTCAGGAGTTCGAGACCAGCCTGGCCAACAGGGCAAACCCTGCCTCTACTAAAAATACAAAAAAATTAGCTGGGTGTAGTGGCAGGCACCTGTAGTCCCAGCTAATTGCGAGGCTGAGGGAAGAGAACTGCTTGAACCTGGGAGGCAGAGGTTGCAGTGAGCCACAATTGCTCCACTGCACTCCAGCCTGGGCAACAGAGTGAGACTATCTGCACCCCCTCCCCCCCAAAAAAAAGCCGGGCACAGTGGCTTATGCCTGTAATTCCAACACTTTGAAAGGCCGAGGTGGGAGGATCACCTGAGGTCAGGAGTTTGAGACCAGCCTGGCCAATATGGCAAAACCCCATCTCCACTAAAAACACAAAAAACTAGCAAGATATGATGGTGGGCACCCGTAGTCCCAGCTACTCAGGAGGCTGAGGCAGGAGAATTGCTTGAACCCGGGAGGCAGAGGTTGCAGTGAGCCAAGACGGCACCACTGCACTCCAGCCTGCACAAGAGTGAAACTCCAACTCAAAAAATAAAAAAAAATCCCCCAAAGTAATACCAATAAACAAGAAAATAGTCAAATGTCATACAGTCTCTGCCACTATAAAGATATTACATTATGAAGGCATTTTGTTGTCGTTGTTGGTAGTTGAATAAATTCCATTCAAAGGACAATGTCCTATCACTGCAAAAGCGTCAGCTTCAGGCCACACACCTGCAGCGACAGGACACCCACTACCTCCTCAGCAAGTTCACTTTCTCTTGGCTCAGGAGTGACTGCTAACACGTTCTTCCCCTTGCCAAGACTAAAATCCACCTCTACCAACAGCGTCCATCCTTAACTTTAACCCCGTGACTGTTGAAAGACAGCCTGGTGTGGAAGGAAAGGCGTAAGAGTTAGAAGGGCATAAATTTAAGTCCCTGGAGTAGAATGTGTGTGCGTCCTGCAGCCGGACGACCCCGAGAGCCTTCGACACCCGTCTCAACCCCCGTGTCTCCTTTCCTCAGCTTATAAAATATGGACAACGGCAGCACCTTCCTCATAGAGAGAATAGGATTTAGAGAGATAATGCAGTCAATTGCCCAGTATGGTTCCTGGCATGTGATCAGTAAGCAGTAAATGTTCACAACCATCATCATCACAGTATAAACAGCATGCTAAAAATTCTACCTTTTGCTGGGTGTGGTGGGTCATGCCTGCAATCCCAGCACTTTGGGAGGCCAAGGCAGGCGGATCACTTGAGGCCAGGAGTTCAAGACCAGCCTGGACAACATGGCAAAAACCCCATTTCTACTAAAACGACAAAAATCAGCTGGGTGTGGTGTGGTGCACCTTTAGTCCAAGCTACTCAGGGGATTGAGGTCTGGGAGGTGGAGGATGCAGTGAACCAAGATCATGCCATTGCACCCCAGGCTGGGCAACAGGAGTGAAACCCTGCCTCAAGAAAAAAGAAAGAAAAGAAAGAAAAATTCTTCATTTCACATAGTTTTGCAAATCCTGTATCATCCTGGTGTCATAAAACATCTGTCCTGTGAAGTATGTTAATATCCTGCTGACACACAGTGTAATTAGTAAAAACCAAGCTATTTAGGGTCTCTTGGGAAAGGTGTTATTCCTATATAAAGGCATGTATGTTTCAATTCACCAATCAAAACACAGTAAAGTTTACAAAGTAAATGTCTTAAAATACAAAGGTGAAGCTAAGTCTACATTTTGAGACAGGAGACATCACTACAGATACCACAGATATTAAAAGGATAATGAGGGAATATTACAAACGCCCTTACGTCAAGACATTCAACAATCTAGATAAAACCGATACACTTCCTAAAAGACACAAGCTACCAAAGATCACTCAAGAAGACACTGATAACCTGAATAGCCCACTGTCTAGTATATAAGTCAGATTTGTTAAGAAAAGTTTCCTGGCTGGGCGCACTTTGGGAGGCCGAGGTGGGTGGATCACGAGGTTAAGAGATCGAGACCATCCTGGTCAACATGGTGAAACCCCGTCTCTACTAAAAATACAAAACATTAGCTGGGCATGGTGGCGCGTGCCTGTAATCCCAGCTACTCAGGAGGCTGAGGCAGGAGAATTGCCTGAACCCAGGAGGCGGAGGTTGCGGTGAGCCGAGATCGCGCCATTGCACTCCAGCCTGGGTAACAAGAGCGAAACTCCATCTCAAAAAAAATAAAAATAAAAATAAAAAGCTTCCTGGACAGGTTTGGTGGCTTGCAGCTATAAACCCAGCATTTGAGAAGCCAAGGCAGGAGGACTGCTTAAACCCAGAGGTTTGAGACTAGCCTGGGCAACATATAGACTTCATATCTATGAAAAATAAAGATTAGCTGGGCATGGGAGTGCACATCTGTACTTCCGGCTACTTGGGAGGCTGAAGTGGGAGGATTGCTTGAACCCAGGAGGTCAGGGCTGCAATGAGACATGATTGCACCACTGCACAATCACAGGAGACATGGGAAACAAAAGGAGATTCTGTCTCAAAAAAAAAAAAAAAAAAAAAAGAGAAAAGAAATTCAAAGAAAACTCTGGTGCTCCGTGTGAATTCCACATTTTCTACAGTCCTATGATTGCATCCTCAACCAATCAACAGTACCCGTTCCCTAGGCCCCCTGCCTGCCAAAATATCCTTGAGAAACCCTAGCCTCTGAGTTTTCAAGGAGCCTGATTTGAGTAAGAACTTCACTTCTGTGTGGGCTGGCCTCAAATCAATGAAACTCTATCTTTGCTGCAATCCCACAGTCTCAGGGAATTGGTTTTTCTGTGTAGCGGGCAGGTAGAACCCATCGGACAATTACAATAGTACCAATAATGACAAAATACTGAGGGATAGAACAAAAGAGGTGCCTAACCTTTACACAGAAAACGACAAAGCATTCTTTTTTTTTTTTTTTTTTTTTTGAGACGGAGTTTCGCTCTTGTTACCCAGGCTGGAGTGCAATGGCGCGATCTCCGCTCACCGCAACCTCCGCCTCCTGGGTTCAGGCAATTCTCCTGCCTCAGCCTCCTGAGTAGCTGGGATTACAGGCACGCACCACCATGCCCAGCTAATTTTTTGTATTTTTAGTAGAGACGGGGTTTCACCATGTTGACCAGGATGGTCTCGATCTCTTGACCTCGTGATCCACCCGCCTCGGCCTCCCAAAGTGCTACAAAGCATTCTTGAAAAAAAGTAAAGGGACCTAAGTACACAGGGAAATATATCACACTCCTGGATTAAAAGACACAACATTGTTACAATGTCAAATTCTTCTTGAATCAATCTATAGATTGAAACACAATCCCAACCAAAATCCCAGCAGGCTTTTTCACAGAAATTAACAAACTGATTCTTAAAATTTATTTGAAACAAAAAAGGGCCCAGAATGGCAAAAAATTTCAAAAAAGAAGAAAGTTGGAAGACTGTCTGATCTCAAGATCTATTATAAAGCTACACTAGGCTGGGCATGGTGGCTCACACCTGTAATCCCAGCACTTTGGGAGGCTGAAGCAGGCGGATCACCTGAGGTCAGGAGTTCAAGACCAGCCTGGCCAACATGGTGAAACCCTGTCTTAAGGAGGGAAAAAAAAAAAAAAAAGAAAAAAAATTTAAAAATTAGAAAATAAATAAATAAATAAATAAAGCTACACTAATCAGGACAGTGTGGGCTTGGCATAGAGAGACATAGAGGTCAGCGGAATGGAACAGAAAGTCCCAAATAGCCCCACATATATGTTCGGCTGATTTTCAAGAAGTGTTTCAGGCCAAGATTGTGGGTGGATGATGGGGCCGCAGGAAAAAAGAAAGAAAAACACACCTCTTTGACAGGGACTCTGGCAGCCATCACCTCAGCCAAGGAGCAAACCTAGCATCCTAACAGTAGGGCAATCTGATGTTACACCTTCCTGCAACAGGAAGAACACGCAGCTGTGAGGAACTCTCACCCGAAAGCTTTAATCTGAATCTAATTAAGCCTTCAGTGCTAATGTTCAGTTTACAGGAAATACCCCTAGGTCCAAGAACAGGAGAAACAACATCAAAGCCAGGTGCAGTGACTCACGCCTGTAATCCCGGTGCTTTGGGAGGCTGAGGCAGGAGAACTGCTTGAGCCCAGGAGTTAGAGACCAGCCTGGGTAATGCAGCAAGACCCCTGTCTCTGCAAGAAGACAGAAAAAAAAAAAAAAAAATTAGCCAGATGTGGTGGTGTGCACCTGCAGTCTCAGCTCCTCGGGAGGCTGAGGTGGGAGGATCACTTGAGCCCAGGAGGTTGAGGCTGCAGTGAGCCGTGATTACACCACTGCCCCCAGCCTGGGCGAAAGACTGAGACGCTGTCTCAAAAACAACAAAGAAGGAAATGGCATCACGGTGGGAGGAAATCTGACAAATCTAGGAGAGAGATTCTACAGGACAATTGGCCTGGTTGCTTTAAATGTTGATGTCTTTTTTTTTTTTTTCCCACCCCCAAGAGGTAGTCTTGCTGTGTTGCCCAGGCTAGAGTGCTGTGGTACAATCTCAGCTCGCTGCACCTTGAACTCTGAGTCCCGGGTTCAAGCAGTTCTCCTGCCTCAGCCTCCTGAGTAGCTGGGATTATAGGCGCACACCACCACGCCAACTTTTGTATTTTTAGTAGAGGTGGGGTCTCACTTTGTTGGTCAGGCTGGTCTTGGGCTCCTGACCTTGTGGTCCACCCACTTTGGCCTCCCAAAGTGCTGGGATTACAGGCGTGGTTGTAATATCACCACACCTGGCCTGATATTATTAAATATATTTTTATTTATTTTTGAGACAGGGTCTCACTTTGTTGCCCAGGTTGGAGAGCAATGGCACTGTCTCCGCTCACTGCAACCTCCTCCTCCCAGGTTCAAACGATGCTCCTGCCTCAGCCTCCTGCCTAGCTGGGACTACAGGCACGCGCCTCCATGCCCGGTTAATTTTTGTATTTTTAGTAGAGACAAGGTTTCACCGTGCTGGCCAGGCTGGGATGTCATTTTTTTTTTTTTCTTTTGAGACAGAGTCTTGCACTGTTCCCAGGCTAGAGTGCAGTGGCGTGATCTCGGCTCACTGCAACCTCCGCCTCCCGAGTTCAAGCAATTCTCCTGCCTCATCCTCCCAAGTAGCTGAGACTACAGGTGCGCGCCACCACGCCTGGCTAATTTTTGTATTTTTAGTAG